TTTGATCCATAACAGAAATCATGCATAGAAATCTCTTACCTTATCACTGAAGGAACAACCACACAGGCAGAAAATCAGTCCACACAAGACAGCCACTGCACCACACAGATTGGCCCTCTTCTCTTCACCGATTAGGGGAGGGCTTCTTAAAAACCACAGCAACCGACCACACAAGACACGATTGGAGGCATAGAAACCTCCAAGGGGAGAGGGCGATCACTCATTTTCAGCCCTTTCCCTTATCTCCAGTTGAATGCAGGAAAATCAAGAGAAACCCTAGATTGGGTGCACAGAGAATAGAAATCTAGGCAGACAGAAATCTAGGCATATTCGAGTGGCTCTGATACCATGTTATGATTCGGCCTGCCTTGAAGTTCTATTTGTCTGAGATCAGTCACGTAGAGAGAGGTAGAAAGGTGGAAGAAAGAGAGAGAGAGAAAAGGAGAAAGTCTGGTTCAAACTGGAAGTCAAAAAACCTAATTCCCATTCGGCCAGACATGTGATGGAAAAGACATATGTGCCCTTATTTAAGTAAGGAGCACTGGTTCTAACATAATATTACAGATCAGCAACCTTAACATAAGTATAAAGACAGAAATACCCCTTACGCTAACAAAGAGGAAATCCAAACTCATGTAGTTGATGTATTTCCATCATTAGCTTTGAGGCCTAATGTACAACAAAGCTGATATAACATGAAACCCCTTTTAAATTTTGTTGTCCAGAGATAGAAATCAAGAAAAAAAGGAATAGATAAGTTGTGAGTAAAATGAACTACAAATGGGATGCATGATTTGGAAATAGATGCAATAGGGAAGAACTGCAAAAGCACAAAATGAACTTAGATTCTCATAGTGAAGGGTTTAAGACATACCTTAAAACGCCATAAGGTGTTTGTAAATGGTGTGGTAAGGCTAAGTGTGGTGGTCTCCTTGAAGGACAAAGAAAGGCCAGAGGTAGCGAAGGTAAATAGAGGTCTCAGAATTGATAGAGTCGAGTGTAATCACGGTTTATTCCTCTTTTTATAAGGGGAGACCCTGAGGCCCTAAAGGGAATGATCCAAAAGGGGTTTGATTCCTATTAGGAAAGGGGATCTTCAATTCGATGTCAGTTGTCAGGAGGACATTTTTGGGGGTTTGCCACGTGTCGCGTGAGATCTTCCTAGGACGAACTTTTCTTTCGTCCAAGGATTCTCATGGTATATGTGTGCTACTTCCCCTCACGGGTCTCTTGTATCGACATGGCACGGATAATATCAGAGCTGATCTGACGTGTTTCGCTTAGTTTTGCTTGGAGTCTTGTCGTGAGTGCCTTGATTTGTTGCAGTTGCACGGCGGTCTTTTAGTCCACCGCAGGTCCACGATGGCTTGGAGCTCATCGCAAACCTGTGATGGGTTATGGGCTCATCACAGGCCCTCGGTGTCTTCCGTGTTGTCATAGGCATTTCTGTCATTCTGGTTTGATGCCTTCATCGCTATCACAGACATAGTAAACCACATGTACTTACAGTGTTTATGTAATAACAGAAATTATGGTAGCTACAAGCTAAAGCTCTTTCCAAATTATGAAAAAATGGCCAATAGTTGTGACGGTTTCTGCAAACTGCACATGATAAGTCCTATAACATCTCATGTTTGATCCTAGCATTGTAACTTATGCCTTGTAGGCAACTGAGGTAACAAACAATAACCAGATAGAACAACCTACAACTAATTCAGGATAGCAAGTAATAGATGAGATAGACTCCTTAAAAAAAGCTCATCCAAGTGGGTAGACAAATCAGCTAACTCTATTGCAGATGGACTTGCAAGGAGAGAAATTTACAAACAGAATCTTGATTGTGGACATTAGACCCAATGGTAGAACAACAATTGTATTTCTTTTTTTTTTTAACTTTGTTCTATTTTGTTTTGTCAGGCTTGGCCATTTTGTACTTTATATATGTTTCACTTCTGTCCTAGCTGGTCCATCTTTTAGCAGAGGTTCTTACCTTAGCTTTCACATTATCAATAAAATCTCCTCCTATTGATACAAACAAAGAAAGGAAGTATCAAAAAGCATAGTAATTATCAAAAAGGAGTACAAGAAAAAGTAGTAGATCATTTTTGTTGATCAGACTTCCATGAACTGAAAGCATTAGAACAACTCAACACAATAAATGTAACTCCATAGACTCATCTAAATAACTCATGTTTACCAAAAAGGAAATCTAAATAATTCATAAAAAATGGCTCTATTAACCCAAAAGAATGGATGAATGAATAAGCAATTAACCACCTGGTGATACAGACCAGTTGACTCAAATAGGGTGTCATTTCCTCCATACAGGAGCCCCTGAAAATGGAACAGTACTGTGATTCAGTTAATGGCTTGGATAAAATATAGGTGTAATGCAACATTCCAACTACACAAATCACTTCAACAAAATTTTTGAGTGGCATTTATCGATAGAATGGTTTCCTAGCAACATATTGGGAGTACCTCACCCAGTCTCCATTGTGTACCCTTCACTAACAAACTTAGCAATGCAAACAAAAGCATTATAACCACTTCTTTTCTCTTTTTTCTTTCATTTTTAGTTGGTTAAGTACTGTTGGCCTGAATATATAAGTAGGGCGGCAAACAGATCATCAAATCAAATTTGGATAGGGGTATGTATGAATCTGATCTTATAAGTATCCACAAAATCCAAGTTCAACTAGAGATATGAATGATATGTGAAACATAGATTTGAATTCAATCCATTTATATATCCAGATATCCAGTTCAAATATGATTTTATTTGAAATTCAGTAAATCCATACAAGACTAGCATAAACCTAGGAAATTAAATTTAAAAAACAAACTGTATAATAAATAGACAAAATAGGTCTACCTAAACTCCAAAACCCACTTAATCAATCCCATCGGATTGGATCAAGCAATATCTGCATTTAAGCAGATTATAAACAGTTCATATTTTCAAATCCAATTCAATCGATATGGTTATGGCTAAATGGATATCTGAACCAACTTAAAAGTGTTAAATAAATCTGGTCTATATATATATATATATATAACGAGCAGATATTCCTTTTGCTCAACATATAGAACCCAAATAATTTCGCATTAAGACTGGTAATAACGAGCAGATATTCCATGGATCACCTTTCAACACATACGGATCCAAAGATAACCAAAAGTCCAAAAATTCTCCCAACTATACTCTACCATCATGTGCAAGATTCAGGGAAAAGACCTATTTCCAACATCACCCAATTGAAGTCCATAACATATTCTTCCAATCTCCCAGATTCTATCTAGCATTCTATCCAGTATCCAGTATTATTTTACCAATACTTAACCAATTGAATTTTTTTTGGCAACTTTCCTACGAAAATTTTATGAAGAACTGACATTACAGTCTTGATTGAAACAATTCCAAATGCACATATAATTATATGAACGAAAAATCTAGCTTTGTTTAAATAGCAAAATAGAATCAATATTAAAAAAACTAAATGGATACCTGCGTGAAAGCATTGGGATCGTGAGGGAACTCGTTGACTACTTCAATTGAGTAAATTCGGGTCGAAGAGACCTCAAACATAGATTTCCTCGAAGTATTCGGCGTAACGAAAAATAGCATGAGAACGCATAAGACCATAAAAAGTGGAAGAAGAACGGATCCTTTTTTCCAAAAGGTTGGAGAAACGGGAGACGCCATGGGCGAGGAGGGCTGTAAGCTCGACCGCCTAGGCCTCTTCTTCACTGATCCGCTTGACATGGATGACTGGTCATTCAGCAGGGAAGAAAACCTATTTTTTTGAAAATTTTAATTAAATTTTGAGTTGGAGAGTCGAGTTAATCACTGTTTAGCTACACACTTCTCCGCATTCACATTCTTATTTCTTTGCAGCCAACGACGCTGTACTCTTCTTCCTGCTCACACCAATACCAATGGCACCGTTCCTACTGCGGGTCTGCACTCTGGACTCTGGAGCCGCCAGAAGTTTGTCAACGCGCGGTAGTGGTAGACTCCCACCCTAAGAACAGCTATAAGGTCCTCCTTGCATCTAAAACGTCTGATTCTAATCTTTTATCCTATAGATTGAAACTTTACGTCCCTAACTCTGGTTTTGTTTATATAAATAAGGGTTCATTTGGTTCACACTTGAAATTGGAATCGAAATCGAAATCCGAATGGTCTATTCCTCATCTATTTGCTTATTTGCTTTCAGATGGTTATATAAAAATATGAATAAACTGAAATAAGATTCTCATTCTGGAGGGGAGGGAATAATCATTCCATTATCAAATTTCAATACTATTAATCAAACGGTTAGAATCAAAATGAGCCATTTTAATTCCAATTCCATACCCCTATTTTCGTGAACCAAATAGATTCTAAAGATTAGAACGGTGATAATTCGAGTCTAATATGTAGTTGTATACGTTAAACACTTGGACAGCTGTCTCAAAAGGGCTAGTCTTTCGCACATCGTTTAACGGCAACAGTGCCAAAGGCATGACTTATGAAGTAACGTATCGTCTTGAGACTTGAGTAAAGGTATAAAGTGGGTACAGTACGGCCCACAGGTCAGTGCGAGTTACAGGATCTGACACAACCTGGTGCCAGATAGGCCCACATAGGCTCCAACCAAAGTTAATGGAGTTCAAATATGCGCCCCACAACCTGGTGCCCCAAAAACGTTACACATAATGGAAGCCTGCCAAGTGTCTTCCCACATGCATTCTCCTCAATGTGTGTGGAGCTAAATCGCCCAAAACCAAAATCTCTCCCCCGTTCCTGCATATTCTCTCATCTCTAGCGCTGATGACCGTTCCAATAGATACACGGTACGAATCCGTCTCTCTCATCTCATCTCTCTCATCCTTTATTTTTTTAAACTTTTTTTCAATACAAAGCACAGAAGAAAAGAATCCATGGGCATGAGGATGATAGATTAATGGGGCAAGCTCCAGACGGTTCTGATCTGAAGTAGATGCTACAATATAGGGGGAGGATTTCGCGCCCGAATGCGGGATGATCGACTGTTTGATATGATTCTCGTTGGAATCTGAGAAATATATGCTTTCAGGCGACGATTATTACAATAGGTCCAGAGAACAATAATTAAGAATATGGGATTTTGCATGTACTTGAGGGAAAGCCCAAAGATGTTGAAGGAGGGAAGAGAAGTAGTGAGAAAAGAGAGATAAATTGAAAAAAATATATATATAGTGAGATATCCACTGGAATCGAGTGAGGATGGGAGAGAGATGTCGCTAGGAGCTCTTTGTTCTCGCCGCTGCATCGAGTAAAGAAATGGAAAAAGGAATGGTGCCATTTTGGGTGGATTTTGTGGGGGAGGAGGGAAGATATGAGAATGATAGGGTTGGATGAGAGAGGAGAGAAATACTGAAATTGGATGAGAGAGGAGAGAAATACTGAAATTGGATGAGAGAGGAGAGAAATACTGAAGAGAAGAGTGAGAGAGGGGAGGGTTCGGAGTGATCCCACTGTTGGGTTGAGTTACAACGGTGGTGTCGTGAGTTCGAAGAAAAAAAGAAAGGAGAGAGGGAGAACCAAAGAGGGAGAAAATAAGAGAGAGGAGAGGAGGGAGGTCTGCTGCCATACTGTGCGAAAGGTATTGCCATTTCTGGTCAAAGAGGAAACTGTTTGTCGTTTCAGTTGTGTCTGCCGAAACGGTCGTCGATAGGGGTGTAAAATCGATCAGTTCGGTTTGGTTTGATTACATCCGAAGACCTAACTGACTATTCGGTTTGACCATTTTTCCAATCGAACCGAATTAAACTAGAGTTTAGAACCGAAATGATCTTAACCGAATTTGGTTCGGTTTAGTTCGGTTTTCCGTTCGATTAGGCCCTAATTCCACATAAATGATAAACATTGATCAACAATTAATAAATAATAGGAAATTGTCTAAAACTCGCTATGAGTTTTCAGCATTTCTCTTAAACTCACTGCAACTTTTCAAAATGTCTAAAACTCACATTGTCACTAACTTGACTTTAAAGAGACTAACGGGTGTCATTATATTACCATTTTAACCTTCATAGAAAAATATAAAATATATACAAAATAAATTAACGGGTATTAATATATTACCATTTTAATATTTAGACATGAAAAAAGGAAAAGTTCAAAAAATAATTTCAAATATAAAATGCATAAAACATAGAAATTACAAAAAAATATAAAAAATTACAGAAAATGCAAACATAATAAAAAATTGTTTTCAAATTATAAAACTATAGAAATTTAAAAACAAAATCAGAAAATAAAATTGTAGAAAACACCAAAAATTGCAAATAAATAACAAAAAATATAGGAAAATTTATAGATTGTAGAAAATAGAAAATTGTAAAAAACAGAAATTATAAAAAAAAACATTGAAAATTATAAAAAACACTAGAAATGCAAACAAACAAGAAAATTGAAAACTGAAAAAGACCATTTTTCTTCTAACTCACCATTCAAGGGTAATTTGGTCATAAAAATTGTTATTTATGCTGACACGGACACCTCTGTTAAGAAGCATTAACGGTGCACTAACGGAATGTGAGTTTTGGAAAATAAAAACATACTGACATGGTGAGTTTTAGATATTTTGAAAAGTTGTGGTGAGTTTAAGAGAAATATTGAAAACTCATGACGAGTTTTAGACAATTTCCCATAAATAATTTATAATTAGTAAGTGTTAATAATTAAAAGTTAAAATGGCCCCAAAACCCGATGATTTTAATTAATTGACTATTATTATTAATTAGAAGTTATGCCCAAAGCCCTATGCCAATGGGGAATTGGTGAATTGGGCATTTTTCAAAAGCAATTAATAACTAATGAACAATGATTAGTCTAGCTTTTAATTAACAATTATTAATTAAAAGTTATTCACAAATAATTAAAGCCCAATGGGAAATTGCCTAATTGGTCATTGGGAAATATAATAGTTAATTAGCATAAATTATTAAATAGATCACATTAAATATTTAATAATTAATATACTTCATTAAATAAACACTAATTCGGTTTTCGGATCGATTTGGTTGAAAATTTCAACCAAACCAAACCAAAACCGAAACCAAATTGATGAATTTGCTTATTCAGTTTGGTTCGGTTCAATTTTTGGTTTATCAACCAAATTTGAACACCCCTAGTCGTCAGTGTCGGAGATGAGTAAGCAGAAATGGGGAGAGATTTTGGTTTTGGGTGATTTACCTCCACACATGCCGAGGGGATGCATGTGGGAGGACACTTGGCGGGTTTCCATTATGTGGGGGAGTTTTTGGGGTGCCATACTGTGGGGCTCAGATTTGAACTCCAATAAATGGGTTTCAGAAATGACCAAATTCATAAAAATTCACCAAATGTTGCCATTGGTCAAAGCTCTTTTGATATCAAAGATTTTCTCTCTTTTATATCTTTATGATTGGCTTTGACAATGGTTAATGGTGTGGATTAGTAGATTGGTATTCTTTCTAGTGGGGTCTTTATTTTCTCGCTTCATGGGGTTGCACCTAGGGGTGAGCATTCGGTTTATTCGGTTAAGAACCAATTTATAAAATATAAAATCGAAACGAAACTGAATTATTAAAAAACCAAAACTAAATTTTTCGGTTCGGTTTTTGGTTTTTCGGTTAAAACCGAATTTTATTAATATTATACTAATACATATTATATATTATATTTATGTATATTATGATATATGTATATGTTAATGTATTTTATATATTTTAATATTTTATATAATATATATTATATACATATTATAATATATTATGTTTTACATATTAAAAATATATATTATATTATGTATATAATAAGTTTTGGTTAATTCGATTTTTTTGGTTAACCGAATTTCCAATCTTGAAAATCGAAACCGAGACCATTTTTTTTAAAATTGATTTAACCGAACCGAAAAAAAAAACAAAAACCAAAAAAGCCAAAGAAAACAAACTGAAACAAAAAATTTCGATTTTAACCGAACAATGCTCACCCTAGCTACACCATTGTTTTATAAACCGACCTAGAACTGGAATCGCGTTGGCCATTAGTTTTTGGGTCAGCAATTCAAACAAACGAATTGTTCCGAATTAATAAAAAAAGGTCAAAATTGTTGTCAAGGTCAAATGGGTTGACAGTTTGACCACTTAGGTTAGTGGGTTGCTAACCAAGTCATTGGTTTTTGGAAAAATAATAGGTTAAGGATGAAACAGAACCGATCCGATTACCTAGACGGTTCTCAGGCTGAATGGTCCAACGGTTATGGCAGTAGCCTATCCCTCACCATTAACCTCCCTCGACCCTGGTGGCAACAAGATTTGATCCCATGTCTCTATTCAACAAGTATAGATCCTATTTCTAGTTGAGTCATTTAGGCTATGTTTGGAAGCGATGTAATTACAAATTTACATCGAGGAGTTTAACATCGATGGGTTTATGAGAGTGTAAAATGGGAACTGGATGTTGAATCCACTTAACATTCTTCATGTTTTGGTACATCGATGTAAATTAAACATTGGAGTTTTGCTACCATTTGGATGAAATATAATAGAGGTAAACTCCACCATTGTTAAAACCCAACCCTTTCTAACCTAACCAACTTTCTCAGGAATAGCAGAGGTATTTGAGATGAATGAATGGAAAGGTTGCAATCCTTGTCAGCCAATGCGTTTGTTGATCTTTCGACGACAAAGAGGTTGTAATCCTTCCTGACTGAGAGAAAAGCCATCTTGAAGTTCCACATTCTGCATTCTTATTATCTGTTGGGTTCTCTTGAATCGATTGTTAATCTTGTTCAGCCAACTTTGGCAACGTAAACCATGGGTGTTGGGACATTCACATTGAATATTACAAGGGTTAAAGGGTTCGTTGCGATTGACACAAGGGTTGCTCAAGTGTTGATAACCTAGACTTTTTTTATCAGAACCCAGTTTCTATTTTTGTTGTTTCGAGGGTTTTGTTGCCAATGGAGAATTTTGGGAAGCAAGGGTTGGGGCTCTGCCTCCAGAGAATTCACCTAGTCTTGAAGGCCCATCAACACATCCATATTTTAGCTAGGAGTTCTGACAAAGTG